TCCAGCGCGGTGGGGAGCTGGTCGTACTCGCAGCAGAGGCGGCAGAGGGTGTGCTCCGGGGAGGGCCCGCCCAAGACCGACCTCATGGCCTTCAGCCCCAGTCATCCACCCTGTCTGGTAGTTGGTGATATGAGCGAGCAACAGGATTTAAATGATGAGCATTGTGCCAAGGTAAGTCTGAATTGCTAATACATACATGAAATATTAAATTGTTTCCTTAGAATTTTTAAAAATTTGAATAAATTTACTTACTATAATCTGTTCATTTTTTCTGTTAACTATTGTAATCTATGTAGTTCGTTATTAGTCTTAATTTAAACTGGAATCAGACATTATACCTATTTGTGGTGCATTTTTAATATGCATAAGTAGTAGTACTTTTTCTAATTATTTATGTAGAATTTTCACTTCTTTGCATTTGTTCCAAATAGCGGTTAAATAGAAATTCAAGGGAACTTGCACTTTGATCAAGTAAATTTATATAAAATCTGTATTCCTCAGACACTGCAAATCTCTTATGTTTGCATTTTATTTGGTGTGTTGCTTTTCATGGAGATATTTCTTCTTTTTAAAAAAGTTTGTATTTGGGTGCCTGGGTGGCTCAATTGGTTAAAGTGTCTGCCTTCGGCTCAGGTCACGATCCCAGGGTCCTGGGATGGAGTCTGCATCAGACTTCCTGCTTGCTTACTGTCTCTTTCTCAAAAATAAATAAAGATTAAAACAAATTTTTACTTAAATTCCATTAACTTACGTACAGTGTTATGTTAGTTTTAGGTGTAAAATTTAATGATTCAGCACTTTCATGCAACATCCAGTGTTCATCACAAGTGGACTTCTTAATTGGGGTCCTCTATTTAACCCATCACCCACCCACCTCCCCTCTGGTAACCATGTTTGTTCTCCATAGTTTAGAGTCTGTTTCTTGGTTTGCCTCTCTCACCTCTTTCTCTTTTGCTATTTTTTCCCCTTTGCTCATTTGTTTTGTTTCTTAAATTACACATATGAGTGAAATCATACAGTATTTGTTTTTCTCTGACTGACTTATTTCACTTAGCATAATACTCTCTAGCTCCATCCACGTTGTTGAAAATAGTAAGATATTCTGGGCGCCTGGGTGGCTCAGTCGTTAAGCGACTGCCTTCGGCTCAGGTCATGGTCCCAGGGTCCTGGGATCGAGCCCCGCATTGGGCTCCCTGCTCAGTGGGAAGCCTGCTCTCTCTCTCCCACTCCCCCTGCTTGTGGTCCCTCTCTCGCTGTGTCTCTCTCTGTCAAATAAATAAATAAAATCTTTAAAAAAATAGTAAGATTTTTTTTTTTTTGTGCCGAGTAATATTCTCCATTTGTGTGTGTATGTGTATCACATCTTCTTTATCCATTCATGAGTCACTAGACACCTGGGCTGTTTCCATTTTTGGCTATTGTGGATAATGCTGCTATAAACATCAGGGTGCATGTATCCCTTTGAATTAGTATTTTTGTATCCTTTGGGTAAATACCCAGTAGTGCAATTGCTGGATGGTAGGGTAGTTCTGTTTTTTAACCTTTTAAGGAACCTCCATGTTGTTTTCCAGAGTTGGCTCCACCAGTTTGCATTCCCTCCTACACTGAAAGAGTATTCCTCTTTCTTCCCAACCTGGCCAACACCTGTTGTTTCTTGTGTTGCTGATTTTAGCCATTCTGATGGGTGTTATTCTGATAGGTGATATTTCATTGTAGTTTTGATTTGTATATCCTTGATGATGAGTGCTGTTGAGTATTTGTCATGTGTCTGTTGGCCATCTGTGTGTCTTCTTTGAAAAAGTCTATTCATGTCATCTGCCAATTTTTAAGTGGATTTTTCATTTTTTGGGTGTTGAGTTCTATAATACTTAATATATTTTGGATACCAACCCTTTATCAGGTGTCATTTGCAAATATCTTCTCCCATTCTGTAGGTTGCCTTTTAGTTTTGTTGATTGAATCCTTCACTATGTCAGAGCTTTTTATCTTGATGAAATCCCAATAGTTTTTGCTTTTGTTTCTCTTGCCTCAGGAGATATATCTAGAAAGAAATTGCTATGCCCATGCCAAAGATGTTACCGCTTGTACTTCTCTAGGATTTTTATGGTGTCAAGTCTCACATTTAGGTCTGTAATCCACTTTGAATCTATTTTTGTGTATTATTTTGTGTAAGAAAATGGTCCAGTTTCATTCTTTTGCAGGTTGTTGTGCAGTTTTTCCAATACCCTTTGTTGAAGAGACTGTCTTTTTCCCATTGAATATTCTTTCCTGCTTTGTCGAAGATTAATTGATCATATAGTTGTGGGTTCATTTCTGGGTTTTCTGTTGTGTTCTGTTGGTCTCCATGTCTGTTTTTGTGCCGATACCATACTGTCTTGATCACTACAGCTTTGTAATATAACTCAAAGTCTGGAATTGTGATGCCTCCAGCTTTGTTTCTCAAGCTTGCTTAGGCTATTTGGGGTCTTTTTTGGTTCCATACAAATTATAGGATTGTTTTTTCTAGTTGTGTGAAGAATGCTGCTGATGTCTTGATAGGGACTGCATTAAATGTATAGATTGCTTTGGGTAGTATTGAAATTTTAACAATATTTGTTCTTACAATCCATGAGTAGGGGATATCTTCACATTTTTGTCATCTTCAATTTCTTTCATCAGTGTTTTACAGATTTCAGAGTACACGTCTTTCTCCTCTTTGGTTAGGTTTATTCCTAGGTATCTTATTGATTTTGGTGAAGTTGTAAGTGGGATTGATTACTTAATTTCTTTCTGCTGCTCCATTATTGGTATATAGAAATGCAACAGCTTTCTGTATGTTGGTATATAGAAATGCAACAGATTTTCTATTCTGCGACTTCATTGAATTCATTTATCAGTTCTAGGAATTTTTTGGTGGAGTCTGTTGGGTTTTCTATATAGAGTATCATGTCATCTGCAAATAATGAAAATTTTATTTCTTCTTTCTGATTTGGATGCCTTTTATTTCCTTTTGTTTTCTGATTGCTGTGGTTGGGACTTCCAGTACTATATTAAGTAACAGTGGTAAGAGTGGACATCCTTGTCTTGTTCTTGACCATAGAGGAAAAGCTTTCAGTTTTTCCTCATTGAGGATGATATTATCTGTGGGTTTTTCAGTTGAGGTGTGTCCGCTCTAAACCTACTTTGCTGAGGATCTTTATCATGAATGGATGTTGTACTTTGTCAGATGCTTTTTCTGCATCTACTGGAAAGGTCATATGGTTCTTATTTTTTCTTTTATTAATGTGGTGTATCATGTTGATTTGATTTGTAAAAATTGAACCACTCTTTCAACCCAGAAAAAAATCTTACTTGATCATGGTGAATGATTTTTTAATGTATTGTTGGATTTGGTTTGCTAGTATCTTATTGAGAATTTTTGCATCCACATTCATTGAGAATATTGGCCTGTTGTTCTCTTCTTTAGTGGAGTCTTTATCTGGTTTAGGCATCAGGGTAATGCTGGCCTCATAAGATGAGTTTGGAAATTTTCCTTCCTATTCTATTTTTTGGAATAGTTTGGGAAGAATAGGTATTAACTCTTCTTTAAATGTTTGGTAGAACTTGCCTTGAAGCTATCTGGCCCTGGACTTTTGTTTGTTGGGAGTTTTTTGATTACTGATTCAATTTCTTTACTGGTTATTGGTCTGTTCAAGTTTTCTATTTCTTCCTTTTTTAGTTTTGGTAGTTTATATGTTTCTAGGAATTTATCCATCTCTTCCAGCTTGTCCAATTTGTTGGCATATAGTTTTTTCATAATATTCTCTTATAATTGTACTTCTGTGGTGTTGGTTATGTCTCCTCTCTCATTTGTGATTTTTTTCATTTGGGTCTTTTCTCTTCTTTTTGCTAAGTCTGGCTAGAAGTTTATCAATTTTATTAATTTTTTCAAAGAACCAATTTCTGGTTTCATTGATCTGTACTATTGCATTTTTAGTTTCTCTATCCATTTATTTCTGCTCTAATGTTTGTTATTTCCCTGTTTCTGCTGGCTTTGGAATTCATTTGTTGTTCTTTTCTAGCTCTTTTAGGTGTAAGGTTAGGCTATTTACTTGAGATTTTTCTTGCTCTTGAGGCGGCCTGTATTACTATATACTTCCTTCTTAAGACTGCTTTTGCTGCATCCCAAATGTTTTGGACCATCGTGTTTTAATTTTCACTTGTTTCCATGTACTTTTTTAAATCTCTTCTTTGATTTCCTGGTTGACCCATTCATTGTTTAGTCATATTGTTTGACCTCCATGTATTTGTGGTCTTTCCAAATGTTTTCTTATGGTTGACTTGTAGTTTAATAGCATTGTGGTTAGAAAAGGTGCATGGTATGATTTCAGTCTTCTTGTATTTGTTGAGGACTGATTTGTGACCCAGTTTGTGATCTATTCTAGAGAACGTCAAGCCCCACATCAGGCTCCATGCTCAGTGTAGAGTTTGCTTGAGATTCTTTTTCTCCCTGAATAAATAAATAAATAAATCTTTTTTTTAAAATGGAGAAGTTTTCTCTGAGAGAATACTGAACATGATGGGCATTCCTGGGAACAGACCAACTTAAGTAAATGAGTACACAGAAAATCCCAATGTGGCTAGACACAGAATAGTCTGCTTTGGTCAAAACATATGGTTCTTACAAGAAAGAGTATGAGATAAGACAGGAAAAGTAATATGAGAAAAAGCTCTTGGATAAGTTAGAGTACTTGACTAAGAAATTTTGACTCATCTCTAAAGTCATCTGAAAACTAAAAGTGTGAAACAACAGGAATAAAAGGTGTGTTTCAGGAAGATGACTGTCAGGATTTAGTGAAGGATAAATGGGGTTGTGGCAAGATAACACAATAAGAATCTATTGAAATAATTCAGGATAGCAGCAATATTTAAAACTCATTTAGGCAGAGTCAGGAGGCAGAAGCACAGTGGAGGGCCAGAAGGTTGTGGAGCCTCATGTTGGGCTCTGTTTGGTGGCCTCTAAGTGGTGCTTCCTTTGAAAATGCCATCCCAAAGCAAGGAAGTTCCAAGTGCACTTGTGGCCTTGGTGATTAGTGCCAACTCACTGCCACTGAACATAGTTGGAACAGAAAATTGGAACATGGCAGCAAACCCTTCAGGACTAGGTTTTCAAAACAAAAACAGAATTGCAATCTTGGCAGAACTGGGCAATGAGGAAAGAAAATTACTAGTGTAACCAATCTTCAACCAAATCATCCTGGAGCTAGTGATGCACTCTGGAGACTCTTTCTTAAGAAGGACTTTCAGAGGCACCAGGGTGGCTCAGTCAGTTAAGTGTCTGACTCTTCATTTCAGCTGACATCATGATCTCAGGGTCATGAGATGGAGCCCAGTGTGGAGCCTGCTTAAGATTCCCTCTCTCCCTCTGTCCTTCTCCCACCCACGCTCATGCATGCACATGCTCACATGCCCTCTCTCTCTGAAAAAAAAAAGGACTTCCAGGTCATGCTGAGCAGCAGAATATTACAGCCCAACAAAAGGTAGCTTTGCAGCATGCATGTGCACATTCATCTGGCCGCTTCATAACTCAAGACTCTGCATTTGGGAATCATATTCTTCCTATTTTACTTCACCTTGACCTAGAATGAAGGAAATATTTGTAATGAAAGTGACTGTAATATCAAATGCCAAAACTACTATCATTCAGAATGATATTATCATTCAGAATTGAATTCAGCGACTTCCAGAATTTTGGTGAACATTTATATTCTTTGCTTATTTAAAAGAAAGGTATGTGTAAGTCAAAACAGAAAAGGAGGGTCACCGGGATTTGTGAGCTTTGGAAGCTGTATTATCTGAGTGACTTATTATGTTACCCATGGCTGTAACTTTTTTGTAATGTAGTTTGATTTTTTAACTCTAAATCAGGCTCTGATTTGGATGGTCACATAATTCACCCCTCCCCCAACTAGTTGGAGGGTGCAGGGGTGAATTATGTGACCATCCAAATATATGTCCACAATAGATTTTCAAGAACCATTTATAGTACTTAACTTTAAACAAATGAGGATGCTTTAAAAAAATGTGAACCAGTAAGCTTAAATAAGTTATATTCATGTTTACTGTTTGTAGAATTGATATTAATGTACCTTTTGAGTTTATAGTCAACATGCTATCCTGAAATACTGTTTAACTCATAACTAGCTCCCTTATTCTCCATTTTAAAAGGAAATCTAAGTTAAGACTAAGGCTACCAACCAGTCTTTATAAAAATTTTTATAAAGCTATGCCACTATACATTATATGATTAAATGATATTAAAGACAATTAATTATGAGAAATGTGGTTTTAAAATTTGTACCTGCTCTTATTTAGTGTTACCACATAAATGGTATGCCTATGTGGTTTTATTGTCCATTTTTGTGCTAATTAAAAACATGCAAGTTGGAAAAAACTCATTTAGGCAGATATCAAAATTGGAAAGCAATACAGCTGTAATTATTTAATTTGCACTTGGAAACAAAGGAATGAGACATTCAAGAAAATTTATTCTGTGAAGTAAAATTAAAAAGGATAAAACCACCCCAATTTTGATTAAAGGACTGCACTAAGTATGATAAATGAGTACCAATATTTATCTAATGAAATAAATTTGTTATGAAATAAATAATTTAAATTAAATTGGAGGTTGTAAAAACAGGTAGATACTCATAAAATGTGGAGCTTAGAAAGTATGTAAAGAATAAAGAGATAAGAACCCTGAACTTTTGGAACAGAGTTTTTAAGTTCTGATGAAAAGAGAAATTCAGAATACTTCTTCCATGCAAAATTCACTTAATACAAATGATTCCTCTTCAAAGATCCTCTAAACCTTCTATTATTGTGTTTTCTCAGAAGTATATGAATTAGTTGCTTTTATCCCATTTCCTAAAAACAAACACCCCTTCTAAATTTTTCTTCCATTAGTAAATACTTGAGACCAAGAGTTTTCTTAACAGAAATCTAAGAAAACGAAGTTACCTGAACTCTGAACAAAATATTTGAAAACTTAGTGTTCCTGCTGTGTGATTCGCTTCATTGTCAGATTTTTATTTTTATTTAAAACTATGAGAAAACGTGTTTTCAAGGCATAAGGAGATACAGTTATGGTTACACTAAATATTTAGAAGTTAAGTCTCTTAATGCTTTCAGCAGGTACGAGAAGTGTTGTCCTGTGCTTTAACGAAAATGAAGGGGAAAAAATCAGGGGTTAAAATAAAACTTCATATTTATTAATAAAAAGTTGATATTTGTAGCTCATACTTACTATTTGGCCACATGATGTCGCTCTTTACCGCGAAATTTTCTCATTCAAGACAAAACTAAGTCATCCATTTTCATATTGGAAAGACTCTTCACTCTGTTTCTCTAAGCGGATGTTGAACGATGGCGAGCACTTCATGATAGTAAGAAAGAGATAAGAAGATTCCTCCAAATTTTGAGACAAGTTACGATTTGAATTAAAAAAAACAATTTGAAATGGTGTACTCGAATCGAGGCGACCGGGGGCACTGGCATCTACTGCTGTTTTTCAAAATTCTCATAGCCTGGGAGAGCGCGAGCGGCCAGGTCCACTACTCGGTACCGGAGGAGGCCAAACACGGCACCTTCGTGGGTCGCATCGCCCAAGATTTGGGGCTGGAGCTGGCGGAGCTCGTGCCGCGCCTTTTCCGGGTGGCGTCCAAAGGCCACGGGGACCTTCTGGAGGTAAATCTGCAGAACGGCATTTTGTTTGTGAATTCTCGGATCGACCGGGAGGAGCTGTGCGGGCGGAGCGCGGAGTGCAGCATCCACCTGGAGGTGATCGTGGACAGGCCGCTGCAGGTTTTCCATGTGGAGGTAGAGGTGAAGGACATTAACGACAATCCGCCCGTATTCCCCGAGACACAAAAGAATCTGTTTATTGCAGAATCCAGGATGCTTGACTCTCGGTTTCCACTAGAGGACGCTTCCGATGCAGATATCGAGGAGAACGGTCTGTTGACTTACAGACTGAGCCCCAACGAGTTTTTCTCTCTGGACGTACCAACAAATGACGAACAGGTAAAACCTCTTGGACTTGTATTACGGAAACCTTTAGACAGGGAACAGTCTCCAGAACTTCATTTAGTGCTCACAGCCACTGATAGAGGCAAACCTGAGCTGACTGGCACCGTTCAGTTACTCATCAAAGTGCTGGACGCCAATGACAATGCCCCAGCTTTCGACAGAACACTCTATGCGGTGAAATTACCAGAAAATGTTCCCAATGGAACTTTGGTAATTAAACTTAACGCCTCAGATTTGGATGAAGGCTCGAATGCGGACATTATTTACTCATTCTCTAGTGGTGTTTCCACAGATATAAAATCTAAGTTCTACATAGATGCCGTAAGTGGAGAAATTATAGCAATAGGACATATCGATTTTGAAGAAAGCAAAACCTACAAACTTCGAGTAGAAGCGATCGATAAAGGCTCCCTACCACTAGCTGGTCACTGTACAGTTCATGTGCAAGTTTTGGACGCTAATGATAATGCTCCAGAGTTGACTGTTACTTCCCTGTCTCTCCCTATCTCAGAGAATGCTCAACCGGGCACAGTCATCACCTTGATTAATGTGTTTGACCGAGATTCTGGAGCTAATGGCGAGGTGATTTGCTCCCTAAAACCGCATGTCCCCTTCAAGCTGGTGTCCACCTTCAAGAATTACTATTCGCTGGTGCTGGACAGCGCCCTGGACCGAGAGAGCGTGTCGGACTATGCTCT